AATTAATCTCTGTGTACTAATCTCAATAAACTGCAGTATATTAATCTCAATCTGCTAATCTCAGTAATCTACAGTATATTAATCTCAGTGCTCTCCACCACTAGTTAGAAATGAAGCAGCCTCTTGGATGAGAGGAGAAACGTTTTCTAGAAAACTTCATGTCTAGTTGCCTAAACTGAATTTATCAAGCTTGGATGACCATAACTTGATATGTTCCTCCCAAAATAATAATCTTCCTCCCCATATTTCAAATTTTTTCCATATTATAAATGCAAATCTCAAATGCCTGTATATTGGATTTGTTAAATATATGACGCACATTCTAAAAAGTGTGGATTGGTAATAAGTAAATGTAACTGGTAACTAGGGACCCCTGGTGACAGTGGGACTGTGTAAATCTGTGTGGGTTTGAGGGTTGCATGCACTACTGTAATGCAGAAAATAACATTTTCACAGCTGAACCTTGAAGAGTTGTGACACAAAAGGCCCGTCCACAGAAAAAGTTACATCATAGTGCTGGCCTGTCCTTAAACCTAAACCCTTCATCAGTGCTGATGTTCTGTAACAAAATGGTCATTACTCTGAGTGACAGCAGGGCTCACATCATCCTCAGCTGCTGTGAAATCCTGAAGCTCTTCAGCTCCACTGTATTATCAACTGATTTCATTGGTGCTGTAGGTGGAGCTCAAGGGAGCCACCATGTGGCTGAAGCTGGTAAAGATAGTTTCCACTATTTACCTCTGGTTCATTTTTCTCTGATGCTAAAATATATAATAAAGTTCATTATGTGTTTTCTTTACTCCAACTTCTGATTTTGTTGTGATAATGTTTTAATTTTTTTTTTTATTTCTTTCAATCAAACAATCAGATTGTTGGATTTGGACCATTATGGGGGAAATTTTTGTTCCATTATTGTTTCAAGCTAAGACCTCCTTTTGTAAATGGAAATAAGAAATAAAATTCAGAAATTAAAATAAATAAAAAAATAAATAAAAGGTTTTGATACAGCAGTAACTTTGTGGTTTCTCAGATTAGTTTTTTTTCTCTCATTTTTCGTATATTTTTATTTTTTTTTTTACATTTTATCAATTCAAATGTAAGTTAAGGTTTCAATTTTTTTCTCTTTATGGATTTATATTTGAAAATTGATTTTTTAAATTGATTTTTTTCAAAGTAAGTTTTGAGAATTGCATTCTTGTATAAATCGTGTTTTCAACATCATATTTGCTTCACTTCCAGCCCAGTGCAAACACTTGCTCTTGACCAGTTAAAATGTGGTTTCTAACATCCAGCAGACCAATAGAAATGCTTCTCAGTCTATAAATCGGGGGGGAAATCTTTCCCAAAAAGTGAAGAGAATATGATCTGAAAAACACAATTAAAAAAAATGCAATTTAGAACAATTTGGAGAACGTAGGAAAAAATTATTAAAACTACAAATAAGAGAAATATTTACAAAGAAATGGAAAAACTACAATGGAAAGTTTTAAATCAATAAAAAAAAATAGAATTATAAAATATGAGAAAAAAGCAAGTTCCTTTCAACTTTTTTTTTTTAAACTAAAACATTTCTCAAAGTTTCATATCTGGCTCTTTTTTTATTTCCATTTACAAAACATGTTCTTTGCTTGAAACAATAATGGAAATAAATTCACTCCATAGTGATTTTTCTTTGTTTTAAGAAAATGTAAAGGTTGTGAGATGATGTTCCCTCTTGCGCATTAGGAGACGTCTGAGTACTTTCCTCCCGAGTGCTTTAGACTTTAAAGTTTTATCATTAGAACCATCAAACACTCGTCACACTGGATGGTCAAAGAAACAGTCTAATGTGACTAATGAGTGTGTGTGTGTATATGTAAGTACTATATACACATTTATATATAGCAATTTCAATTGTTTTTCCTTCTCATGTGCAGCTCTTTAAATTGTCCTGCCCCTGAAATGTGCCTCAACAGACGGGGAATACTAAAATATTTATGGCGTCCATTTTCAAACAGTTAGGATAACATTAGGGGACTGTGGACATAAGGGCCTCCCATGTTGACTTGTTTATCATCCTGGTTTGCCTGGAACAACAGAGAACCACTTTAACTGATTCATCCCTGAAACCCAGCATGAACAAGCTGTTCTGATTGCATGCGTGTCGTCGGATGTAGCTGGTCATGATCCAGAAGCCCTCCAGACAGACCAATATCTTCTGCTGGGGAAGCTTCAGGTCACGCTTAATGAGGGAGAAGCGTGGAACATGGGGGGGAAAAAAGAGCTTCATCATCTCTGTTTTAAACTGGCCAGCCATCCAGATCAGTCCAGAGTCTCTAACTGTTTAATGGGGCCAGTTAAAGACGAACAGACGCCGCCACAGAGTGAAGAAGAACCATTACGGCAGAAGACAGATAAACTTGGTGAAAGCAAATTAATCCAGTAATGAGGAACTCTCAAGCAGAGGGCCCTATTAGTGTCTCTGCCAATTAGCTCCTCTGACAAAACAGTTGGTTCTGTTGACTGTAATTTATTCAAAGTTAAATCAAATAACTCAGTCATACAAGACGTTGGTGGATTCCTCTTTATTGCAGCGAGCCATAACAGTGCAAACTTCTCCTATCATACAGCCATGATCCTTTTGACTCATGTTTCACACGCCCTCCACACAAGGATCATTTCTAGAAACACGATGTAGCAACACATTCACTGAACACACTTAAGGCACAGACGTACACAGACAGTTTACATCAAAACACACTCAGGAGCAGTGCATAAGACAGCAGCAGTAATGGCAGATAACTGTGCGGCAGGAGCCGCAGCGTAAACTCACAGATTACTGATCTATGGTTTTTACATGACATGCGATTGTATGGGGTAAGATACCCGCCAACATCAGCATGTGAGTAGGTGTCTGAATTTGAAAATGTCAGACAGTTTATGCAATTAAATACAAGATTCGTATTTGTCGTTTTCAACTTATACATGTGAGAAAACAAGTTTAGAAACAACAACTTTGCATAAATGCAAGTAGGATTCACAAATTTCTCAGTACGAATCTACAACTCCTGATAAAGCAATGACCCTCCTTACAAGATGGTGGCGGTAATGGACCTGAAGGTTGTTCCACAACTGCCATTAAAAGAGAAAGACGAAAACACCATCGATTGAATGTTACGTTATATCTTTGCTAGGATGTTGCGTAGTGTAATGCTCAACAGATTTTCATCTTCTTCAAAGGCAATTAACAAACAGGTATCAGGTGCATTACTGCCACCAAATGGTGGGGAGTGTAGCAGCTTTTTCAGGGGATGTAGCTTTGTAAATGTGCGATACGTACACGTAAACATGTAAATAATACTTATATCTGTATTGTTACATTTATAAGTCGTTCTCTGATATTTGCAAGCTGTAGTCATATTGTTGAGAAGTACCTTTCTTTTTTGTACTCATAACTTTTAAACCTGTATTCTCATAGATGACGCTCTAATGTCACACATATCTATGAGTTAACGCGGAACAAACACAAATCCTAAATGTAAGAACATTATTAACTTTCTTTCAAATCCAAACATCTTCACATACGCTTTTATTGATACGCTTTTATTGACCGTTATTTTACCCCATATTGATTTCTTCTGGTGTTTAGTGATCCCATCTAACACGGTCTGACCTACATTGATAGAGATTTCAACTAAAAGCAGGAACTAAACGATCAGGAGTTATAACTGTCGGCATCAAATAAAAGAAACTTCAAGGACATTTTTTTTCAGGGTGGAAGAAAACGGACAAATATTGCCACTGGACATGGGCCGGTTTCCATTATTAAAGCGGAATGCTCCGTATATCGCTGTATGGAGCATTCTGAGATCGCTCAGGTAGCGTGCCACAGGTACCCATTGCTGCTCACTGCTAGCCAGCTGACTGAAAGAAGAGCTCTGCAGTCTTTCCTTCTTTAAAAGACTAATTTGGGAAGTTGAGACACATTTCTCTAAACCAGCTGACTGTGTGATGTCCAGGAGTAGATGGCCTGAATAAGCAGCTGCTTAGTCCATAGACAGTGAGAAGTAATATGTTGAAATTAGACATTTGTCTGATTTGAATTTGCTTTTGCCCTGAAATATTGTTTTTTTACAACAAGAAACACTGATTCTATCCTATTTTAAATAAATAGTAATTTTTTCTTTATTTTATTTTAAAACATGACATTGTTGGATTCGTCATTTCAGCCTCTGCCTGTATAATTTTACAAAGGAGTTAATAATTTAAACAGTGTGATTGAACTTCAGTTTAGAGCATAAACAGTCCTGCTGGATGTTTGGATGGAAGGGAGGCTTTTGGAAGACAGACGGATGATTGAAGAGCTAACCTATGTAGTTAGTATGGGGGGGGGGGTTTGGGGTTGCTGGCTGGCTGCGTGTGCCGAATGTCCAGCTCCTTTAACCTGGGACCTTCTCTTAAAAGTCAAAACAAACAAACACACCAGTGTGCTGTAATTGTCTTTTTTTTTTGTTTCAAATTATAAAATAAAGAGATAAACTTGCAGCATTTGTTTTACTCCAACCCCCTCAGCCTGCAAACTATCCCAGGATCCCTCTGTATGCGTCTGCAGTTGGTATCAACTGATGATTAAGTTATGATGCATTAAGGATTTCTGTGTCATTTATGCATCTGGCGACTCATTTTAATGCAGCATAAAAACTCTAAGACAGTAATGAAATTAAGACAAAGTCATTTCAGTGCTTCTGCCAAAACCATATTTGTTTTTAATAAAACCATGTTGCCGAGATCCAAATTATATGTTTTAGATCTCAACATATTATCTAAGCGGCAGATTAATAGAAATTTGCAGCCCAAACATCCATCCAGATAAAACAAAGTTTTAAAACTGAACCCGAAAATTAAAAAATATTCAAAATAAATTTGAAAATATAGAATATAAATGAAAAACTTAATAAAATAAAATCAAAAGAAAATTTTGCAAAACAAAAAACAGTTTTTTGTTTGAGTTTTTTCTAGATTGCATTTTTTTCAAATTTCCATTTACAAAACATGTATGTTTGTTTTTTTGCCACATTAGTGGAATAAATTTCACTCCATTTTATTTCACTCAGCCTTAGTTCCTACATTTCAAACAGGATTAAAATCGGAGACTTTGAGAAGAAATAAAACAATGTTAGTCTAGTTTTTCCTTTCCCAAATCTGTGTCGGTTGGTAACATCACCAAGCCAAGTTTTTTCCATCTTATACAGAATTCCTCTGATTCAGAATAAAAAGACATGATTTTAGATGTCTAACAGCAGCCCAAGAAGCACCAAAAGATTTTGAACCAAAGGATGCTAACACCAATGTCCCTATTCCCAGTAAATCCAGTTTATCACCAAATAAATGTACCGTACTGGGAATGTTGGAATGAGACAAAGCTAACCAATTAAAATGAATCACCAACAGAGCGGTCAGATTTCCAACAATAAATGTTTCATAAGATTCTAGAAGACCAAAAAATGTTTCTCTGCAACTTGGTAAAGATAATCTGCCCAAACATTAGAGGCAGCAGGTGTTACTCTGCAGACTGACAGTGATCAGGAAAATCTTACTCTACATGCAGATTTGTTTCAGAAATCACAGGTTATGCAATCAATTCGCCCTGAAAAGAAAAGCTACAGTAACAGCATAAGCAAATGTTTAACATGACAGGAAGGATCATGACGAGCTCATGTTTGCTTCTAACGTCAAAGCAGTTCAGAGAAAAAAGGATGTAAAACTGGAGAAATAGCAGCCAGAAGTAGGTGAGCAGGTTTATGGTTAAATTATGTTTTAGGCTAAATTATGATCTGTTTTTTTTTTTTTTACCACAAGTATAAAAGGGGCCATACTAAGATACTTTTCTTTAATAACTACGAAAAAGTCTTTTCTTCTGTCATTCTACTCTATCTAGAACTCCTCAAGTGGAAATGTTTTAGTTTCACCTGGTTTAATTTCCTAAAATGTCTTATTTAAGGAACATTTGGCCATCTGATTATTAATCGACTGATCAAAAATAATTGATAGATTAACCGATTTGCAAAATTATCATCAGTTGCAGCCCAAGTTGGAATATTAAGTTGTTAAAATTTAAGAGAAAATCTTTGGAATGTCATGTCACTAAGGTTATAATGATAAGTGTAGGAGGAAAATCCTGAGATTACAAAACTAGGTTCAGAGTCAAGAGAATAAAGGCGTAAAATGAGGTTATAACTTTATCAGAATAAAGGGATCATGTTTGGTCTATGAGAATAAAACCATAACATTACGACAATAAAGTCTGAACTTTACCAGAATAAAGAACATTAATGGGAATGTTATGAAAATAAAACATGATGACAACAATAAAGTCAGAATGTTGAATAAAAGGAACATTATAAGGTCAGACCTTTACCAGAATAAAGTTAGAACATTACAAGAATTGTATTAATACATTTAAGAAAATAATATATCATCATTAAATAAATTGGTATTATTACGATAATAAAATCTGAATGTTGTGAAAATAAATCAGTAACATTACGGAAATAAAGTCAGTCAGTGAGAATTAAGCTTGAAAAGTTCAGCTTAGGCAACTGGATGTGAAGTTTTTTAGAAGACGTTCATGAATGAAGTTGTGATAAGACAGTAAATTGGTAGAACTATGACATTAAAGAGATATTCTAATTTTCTGTAATCTGAGCTCAGGCAGAGGCTTTTATTATTATTCTGGTAACATTATGATTTTAGTCTTGTAATTAAAATAGTTTTGGTAATGCCCTAATACTCTGTGGTCGTCTTTAGACACTTGGAAACAAACTAAAGTGTTTAAACTGAAAGAAGGTCTGCAGGCTCCAGATGATGGCAGAGACTTTACTTCAGCGTTGCTCATGGTTACCGACATCCAAACACAGCCAAAGGTCAAACTCTGATCAATTAAAATATGTGTATCGATTAGTGAATGACGGTTCAACGTCAAACTTTGTTTGACTGCTCGGATTTCCAGCCCCCCCACCACCTGTCCTTTGGCCCCTAAACCAGCGATGCCCTTCTCTCCTCAGGCGTCTCCTCCAGGATCTGGAGCAGCAGGTCGCTGAGAGGCTTAGCCAGGGTGCGGTAACCTGCCAGCGTCAGGTGGAGGTAGTCAAACATGTCCTGTGAGCTGATGGTTCCATCAGAGTGGACAAACTCTTTGCTCACGTCCAGGAACAGAACCTGGCCCAGCCGTGGGAGCCTGGAGCTCAGGAGCCTGTTGACGGCGGCGTTCTTCTCCCTCAGCGGGTTGGGCCGCTCCCCTCGAGGTAACAAACCCTCGTTGGCACAAAGAGACAGAAACCGTCCCATTCGTTTATTCAAATCTCTACATTAATTAGCATCACGAGTTTCATTCAAATAAATAAATCACAGGTTCTAATTAATTAACCCTATTTTTAGGCTGCAGGATGAAGCTTGTATGCCCTCCTCATTGACTGCAGGCTTCAGGACATCCATCCACTCACAGGAAACAAAGGACTAACTTTTGTAGCGTTTTTATTTCATCTAAATATCAAACACACTTCCTACTAATCTGGGTACAAAACAAAATGGATTCCAAGCCATCTTTTAATGGATTGACTGGTCTGAAAAAGCAGGGGAAAAAAACAATGTTTTGGTTCAGATTAGTCCAGATTCCTTCTCTTCCTTCCTTCCTAAATTCTCATTTTTAGTAAACAATCCAGAACATGAAGAAGATGGCATCACCTTAATCTGCAAACATGTCACTTTGTTAATAATATAGATTTTACTATCAAGTTAATAATTAAGTATTTATTTATCTAAAGATCCCCTAAACACATTGATTTGAGTCAAATTGGACAGAAAACCTTATCTATGTGTAAAGCAGTTTTGCTAGTTTGGGGTTTAAAGCAGCAGGTGACCAGCGGCGTTGTGGCTGACATACGTTAACAGTCACAGACGGATGCAATGCAGAAAACCTGGTCATTTTTCAAAATAAAACACAATTTGGAATATGAATCAGTTGCAAATAACTGGAGTTATTTCCTCTTTCTGTCCCGGTACCAATTGGCCTGGACCCAGGATCACAGATCTTAAATAACCAACATTATTAATTAGTTTTTATTACCCGTTTTTGTCAGTGGTGGGATGTAACGAACTACAAGTACTTTGTTACTGTATTTAAGTACATTTTTTTTATATATATATATATAT